CTACATGCCGCTAAATTGGGGCGCCACTGAGGGTGAGTGATTCAACCACCGACCGAGGATCTTTATGAGCAGTGGTCACTCGGATCGAGGTCACAGTTTAAGGGAAGCTTACACTGGCCGAGTTCCAAAGAACATCTCTCGACCATTTGAGAGATCCATTAAATTCCTCAAACCTGTCAACCTGGCAATTCCGGTGACGACTTAAAGACGGCTCCTTAATTGAATGAATTCAGTTGTTTTTCTAGCTTGGCCCCTACCCTCGACTGAAGCACCACCTATTCTCAGCCCGATGACTGCTGCTGACCGATCGACTACCTCTCGGTGCTTCTTTCTTCACCAAGGTGTCACTGCTCGCCATTATTGCTTTGTGATTCAAGATGTACGTCATTGACGATATAGCGCATTACTCCCTCAAGATCAAATTCCACGGCGTACTGAGCTGCTCCGTCCTACTAATGGCCTTCGGGTAACGTGAAAGGGAGCATTTAAGCAGACCACGGGTCTGTAATGTTTGGGCTCCTACAGTGCCAGAGACATCTTGTAATATTTCGCTCGATTACGAATGATACTTAAGGAATTTATATTTCCCATATGTTACCGCATAGGCATCGAAATGTTTCTACGTCGGAGTACGTCGAATGATGCATAACTCGTTCAAGACCAGATATCAGATTAAGATGTTAACTATAAAGATTGATTGACGAATGATCGATTGATTGATTGATCACCGCGCCGATCGATGATGACGCAGGCCGGCAGCGAGATGCATCCCGGGAAACACCTACTCGGTTTTTGAGTGACGTGTATAATGGAACTACGAGAATAGCAACTCTCACCGGAAACGAGCGGTTAAACGGTCAAAGACAAAATCCGACGAGATAGCGCGATGTAGACACACAGTCAAATTTGAGAATGAGGAGTGGCAACCGGCGAGGTTAGAACTTGGGGCGAATGCTCGCAGCAGACTTCTCCACACTGGGCAGCGGCATAGTAATTGTGCTTCTACATATGTTCCCTGTATGCGCTATGACAACGCCCCTTTCACACTCTCTGACCAATTAAACTTCTGATATACCAACGATGCCTCACAAGTGAGGTACTGATCGGAAAGACGGTCGATAACATAACTGCTTCACTACTTTCAAAAAGAGTAGCTGTAAAAGCTGCATAAGTGATCCACAAAAGTACTCATAATCGTTTGCCAATTGAAAATATCTACCTATCAATGGCGAACATGGACCCTTCGTAGTTCTTCATTGTCTCGCCATCCAGTGCTCATCATATATAGGTCAGAATCATCCATCGCTGGAAAAAGATTCTCATTGATATCGGCAACTAGTTTCTACAAATAATTGATTTGCCAGTCAGCGTGTTTCCACTTGTGTTGTCAAATTGGTTTAGCATAGTCTAGAGTAACCGGTTACTGGATATGCAAAAGGTACTAACTCTCCAACTACCAAGTGAACAGCAATGAAATTTTGCTACTTCACTTTGATCACTAATTATCTCATTCCTTCTCTTTCTTTATTCTTTAATTTTTCTTCGTCTTGATCACTGTCAATATCTTCGTCCATCTTTCTCTCTCTCCTAGTCTTCTTTTCTTCCTCTCCTGCTTTTTCTGCCCTGTCATTTTTCTCTTTCCATCCTCGTCGTCCTCTTTACCTTTGAACTTCGAGTGCTTCTTCAGTAACTCATTCTTTTATCCTTCCTCCTATATTTCCAATTTTCATTCTCTCCGCTTTCCCTCTACTCTGTTTCCACTCTTTCGTTTGCTTCTGCTACTTGTTTGCTTCTGCTTTGACATTCCTTTCACCCACTCTTTTTAATTTTCATCCTCTTCTCCTTCTCTCTCTGCTTAATTTTCTTCTCATTCATATTCTGTCGTCTAGGAAAATACCGTTTGCTCCATCACAAAGAAGGAATTCATACGTTACGCAGAACTCGATCTATTCCGCTTCTAAGGCACAGCGGGAGGTGTCAATCAGTTAGGAAGTCAAAGGAATGATTGAATTGCGTGAGTTGTCGTGTCGTTGCACTTTCCTCATTTAACCCATTTTCCTGCTTCATGCGAGGACTGTGTCATGCAGTAAAATTTTCCCAACGGCTGATCCTCACTGAATTATTTACGAGGAGGATAACAAATTCAGGTTTCATTCACAAACGAATTTCAACTACTCTTGATCAAGGATATCTGATCCCCTACGAAAGAAAAAGCCCCGCTGGGCAGGCTGAAAACTGGCACTGCTTGTCAGAGCTCACTGACTGAAGAACGTTCCCAGTGAGCTGTGTCGCAAACGTTGGTCACCCCTAAAACAGTGTTCGATCAAAACGAAAGGTACACAGACTGTCTCTCCGAAATGTTATTAAGTCTTATATGTTGCGTGTGTTTGTTGGGAGCATCATTACCTTGAGTCGTTCTTAAAAGCAGATCGTCTGTGGTCTGTGAAGTCCGAGGTATTCGCAGCTTTTGAACATGTTTGCTGTAAGGGATCGGCTATTGCATCATAGAGGGAAATATCCCTGTCCGAAGGCAGATCTGCCTCTAACCTGTTCATTCATGTTTTATGCTGGTCCCTTATTCGACATCTGCCGTGTTTCATCTCTTACACGCGAAACTAATGGGCTGGAGCAAACGGTTTTCGCTCATGCAATTTGTGTGACAGGGCGACCTCCTATTCATCATCTGTTCCAGGAGGACTATAGACCCATTCTTTGCATGGTCCTGACGCTAAATTTTTGTTACGCCTAGAAGCTATCGGCTATACGCAGATGAACTTCATTTCTTGCAGTGGACAGCTATGGGAACCCTTGGCCAAGAACAGATAAAATGGAAGGGCGAAGTGAAAATATCTTCTAGTCTGTGAATGCAGCTTAAATTGGATCAGAAGACGTTCATCCAGCAGAGGACACTAAAGCTTACAGACGACAGTCCAGTGCTTGTCAATTCAGACATCGGAAATGGAAAACACGACTTTAAGCGGAAGAAACCAATTGTTAGGGGTGGTCACTGACGG